AGCAAGGACTGGCATAAAAACAGACAAATAAACTAATGATAATGAACAGAGAACCAAAACCAAATCCCCACACACACAGTGAATTCATTTTCCACAAAGGTACTAAAAACATACACTGGAGAAAAGACAGCTTCTTCAATAACTTGTGCTGGGAAAACTGGATATCCATATGCAGAAGAAGGAAACTAGACTACTATCTCTCACCATATCACAAATCAAATCAAAATGAATAAAAGACTTAAATCTAAAATCTTAAACTACAAAAAAAAAGTCTTAAACTATGAAACTACTACAAGAAACACTGCAGTTTTCTCCAGAACACTGGCCTGGGCAAAAACTTGTTGAGTAATACCCTATAAGCACAGGCAACCAAAGCAGAAATGGAGAAATGGGATCGCATCAAGTTAAAAAGCTTCTGCAGAGCAAAGGATACAATCAACAAAGTGAACAGACAACCTACGGAATATTTACAGAAAATATTTGCAAATTACCCACCTGACAAGAATAACCAGAATATATATGGAGCTGCAAACAACTCTATAGGAAAATATCGCACTATCTAATAATCAAAAAATGGGCAAAAGATTTGAATAGCCATTTCTCAAAAGAAGACATACAAGTGTCAAAGAGGCATATGAAAAGGTGGTCAACATCATTGACCACCAGAGCAATGCAAATCAAAACTACAATGAGATATCATCTTACCCCAGGTAAAATGACTTACATCCAAAAGACAGGCAATAGAAAATGATGGCGAAGATGTGGAGAAAAGGAACCATCCAACACTGTTGGTGAGAATGTAAATTAGTAAAATAACTATGAAGAACAGTTTGGAAGTTCCTTGAAAAACTGAAAATGAAGCTACCATATCATCCAGCAATCCTACTCCCGGGTATACATCCAAAAGAAGGAAAATCAGTATATTGAAGAGATACCTACATTTGTATGCAGCATTGTTTACAATAGCTGAGAGCTGGCAGCAACCTAAGTGTCCATCAACAGATGAATGGATAAAGAAAATGTGGTACTTATACACAGTGGAATACTATTCAGCCATAAAAAAGAATGAGTCATTTGCAACAACAAGGATGAAACTGGAGATCATTATGTTAAGTGAAATAAACCAGGCACAGAAACACAAACATTGCATGTTCTCATTTATTTGTGGGATCTAAAAATCAAAACAATTGAGCTTATGGAGGTAGAGTATAGAAGGATGGTTACCACAGGCTAAAAGGGTAGTGGGGACTTGAGGGAAGGTGGAGATGGTTAATGGGTCAAAAAAAAACAAAAATTAGAATGAATAGAACCTATTATTTGATAGCACAACAGAGTGACTATAGTCAATAATAATATAATTGTACATTTTAAAAGAATGAAAACAGTATAATTGGATTGTTTGTAACACAAAGGATAAGCACTTGAAAAGATGGATATACCATTCTCCATGATGTGATTATTTCACATTGCATGCTTATATCAAAACATCTCATGTACCCCATAAATATATAAACCTACTATTAAATGCCTACTACTATATTATATATAATATACAACATAATTTATATATTTATAAAAATATTTTTAACCTTTGTGGTTTATATATATTACATATACATTTTGTCGTTTATATACATATATGTACATACACTGCAAAAATTAAAAATTAAAAAATAACAAGATAGAAAAGATGAAATATCTAGAATGTGGTCAAGACATCAAGCAGGATGAATCAGAGAAGTGTCAACTGGATTCGAGAACATGGAAGTCTTTGGTAATCTTGAGCACAATTTTCATAGTGAACTCAAGTGTTACTGGAATGCCAAGAAGTACAGACTGTCTGTCTGTGACTATATATAACTCTTTCAAAAAGGTCTGTGTGAAAAGAAAGGAGCACTAAAAATGAAGCCAGCCATCTTTTAATTCTTATAGATTGGGCTGTCAGTCTCTTCACCCTCTAGAATCTATTTTATTTTTTTCCAAAAATAAATGAACCTAAGCATACCTTTACTCAATTAAAAAAAAAAAAAAAAAAAAAAAAACCTCTCTTGGCTCTTTGCTGCTCTCAAAATGAAGTCTTAATCATGGTAATATAACATGAATTAATAATTTAACTCTAATGTACCTCTCTTGCCTTAGAGCCCTTGTGGGTAAACTCAATTTCACAAGCTCTTTCAAACCTCCACCTAACAGCTGGTCAGGCTGCCAGAAGTGTCTTCCTTCCCCATCTGGTAGGCTTGTATTTACATACCATGACTCAGCTCAGCTATCCTCCTCACCAGTACATGCCAGGCACTTACACATCATTCACATCTGCACCTCCCCAGTGTTTGTTCCTTCAAGCCAGAAGCATGGGTATCAGCCTTGACTTCCACATCCACTCATGTTTCATCCCTCGTAATCGCTCAACCACCAAGGCCCAGCTATTCTCTACTTTCTCAGCAAGCCTCCATCCCCATTCTATATCCCTCCATATTCCCACTCTAGACCCCTCTGTATCCCCACACTATACTGCTCCATATCCTCACTGTAGGCCCCTCTGTATCCACATGCTAGACCCCTCCATATCCCCTGCTCTAGACCCCTCCATATCCCCACACTACACTGCTCCATATCCCCACTCTAGACCCCTCTGTATCCCCACACTATACTGTTCCATATCCTCACTGTAGGCCCCTCTGTATCCACATGCTAGACCCCTCCACATCCCCCGCTCTAGACCCCTCTGTATCCCCAGCTCTAGACCCCTCCATATCCCCAGCTCTAGACCCCTCCATATCCCCAGCTCTAGACCCCTCCATATCCCTGCTCTAGATCCCTCCATATCGCCACTTCCCTTTAGCATCTCCCTCATTTGTTTTCCACACAGCAGCCAGAATGAACCTTTTAAAACACAAAGCAATTCACATTCACCCCAAAATAAAAACCCCTCAATGGCTCTTCATGCTCTTAAAAAATGATTCACTGGCTGACAGAGCCCTGAACCTCCTGAGCTCTGCCAACCTCTCTACCCTTACTTCCTAGGTCTCTCCCAGCACTGTGCCTGGCCACACTGACCTTGCAGCTCCTTAAACCCACTGAGTTCCTGAACCTGTTCCCCCACTTCTGCCACCCCTTTCATCTGCCACTCTTTTCACCTTTTAGACCCAAATTTGAATGTCATTTCCTTGGGAAGTAGGCAGAGAACAGCAACCTGACCCAGTGTTAGGACACTCTGCAGTTCATGGTGCTCACTGCCACTTCCAATCACATCTGCATCTTTGTTTGACTATTCCATCAAGCTTCACCTCCCACCTTTAGGCTGGCAGCTTCCCAGTGAAGGTGCTAGTTTTGTGCAACCCTCCGCTAGTCATACCCCGCCCTCAACTAAGAACCCAGCACTCAAACACTTATTGAATCAATGGGCCAATGAAAACCCTCATAATCTGACCTTCTCTAGGCACTGACCAGAATCTGAGTCCTCAACATGGAGAGTAAATGTAACCAGGCTCCTCTTCCTTAACAGGAACCCTTTTCAGTTCCAGGTACTTGTCTTTCTACCAACTTCTATACCCATAGAGATTGGTGCCCTCTCTAAATTCCTAAACTCATTACTTATTCCTTCACCTCCAAATGCTTTGACTGACAGATTATTTTAAAGCAAGAGAAACATAAGGGAGTTATTTTGGTCCTGGACAGAAACCAGTTCTTTAGATTTATATTGCTTGGCTTAATACTGAACACCCAGGGTTAAATGTTCTTGCATGCAATTAGAGATTGTCCATAAGATGTTGGAAGCAGGGTCTGAGGCCCTCTGCTTCTTCCTCAAGTATTTAAACTAAGCTTAGCACAACCAGGTCAACTCACTAACGGTACAGAAACAGGAAAGTACTTTCAAAACTACAAAACACCAAGCAACATTATTAAGAGGATGATCATTGCATTAGCCAGTTTTCCAGTTACTAGAGGAATATAAGTCCATTTTTACATGGCTAAAAGTAGGCTTCTTCAGTGAATATATATAGGAAATCCAAAAGAACTATCTGTATCAGGCACTATATGATAGAAGATTTATCTGAAAAAAATTTTAAATCATACCTATTAATACGAGCCCAGGTATGGGCTTTCTTTCTCGCATAAGGGGCAAAGGGGTCTGTTTGTACAAGTGGAAATAACTGCCAAGAAAGGTTGAATGGCAGGAACACATCCCCTAGGGATCTGGGAAGCAGCCTCAGAAAACACCTTCTCTGACCAGATACCTCCTTGAAGAAATGTGTATTAGTTTAATCGGTGCGTACATTATGGCATACAAAGCTCTTCACTTTCTTTCTTCTTCCTTTCTGTCCTTTTAGATTCAAATATACCAACCATAAGCCTTAATATCCATAACTTTCAAGTCAGTTTATTTATGGTTTTTGAGATGGAGTCTCGCTCTTTTGCCTGGGCTGGAGTGTGGTGACACGATCTTGGCTCACTGCAACCTCTGCCTTCTGGGTTCAAGCGATTCTCCTGCCTCAAGCCTGCTGAGTAGCTGGAATTACAGGCGGGTGCATCCACACACGGCTAATTTTTGTATTTTTAGTAGAGACGGGGTTTCACCATGTTGATCAGGCTGGTCTTGAACTCCTGACCTCATGATCCGCCTGCCTCAGCCTCCCAAAGTGCTGGGATTATATGTGTGGGCCACCACACCCAGCCCTAAGTCAGTTTCTAAACACACACAAAGAAATTAAGAATCTCATATCTTTTGTTAACATTCAGGGAATCTAGGTAAAAGACAAACAGGAATGATTTGTACTGTATTATTTTTGTTTAACTTATCTGTGAGTTTGAAAGTATCCCAAATGATTTAAAACACTTTTTATTTAAAAAAGATTCTCCTATCATTGAATATTTTAAAATATTGCCATGACCAAGTTTACAGTTTGAATTTTAAAGCCAGGTCTAACACAGAGCAGAATTACTGCAATTCATCCAAAGGTTCTGGCCACAAGGTTATTTTTATCAACTTCCCTTCCTACCTGATATGCTCAGTTGTAAGTGCTGTCTGGTCAAACACTGCAGAATCACCACCACTCAGCTTCTGCAGGGGCAACTGATGTTCCTTCAGCTGAAGGAGCTCTTTCATACACTCCAAGTTCAAAGTACTCAGTCAAGATTCACAGAGGTATGGCTCAGCAAGCTGCACCACTGCCTTCAAGGCTGAAATGTCCACATATCTGTGGCCTAAAACATAAAATAATGTGACTTAACATATGACAATAAAAATTAAACTGCACGTAAAAACACTACTGGCTACTGATGGCCAGGGGAAGTCATCTCTGAGCTGAGAATGAAAAGGAAGCAGCCATCTGAAGAGCAGGGAAGACGTAAAAGGCCTGTGGCAGAGGTAGGCTTGGTCACTGAAGGAGCAGAAAGGCAGTTCTTGCTGGAGCCAAAGAGAGGAAACAGGGAGGGGAAGATCAGGAGAGAAACAGCAAGAGATGAGGTGGGAGAGAAAGGCAAAAAGACCAGGACATATACAGTCTCAGGAGATTGGGTTTTACATGTTCTCCAGCACAGTGAGAAGCCATAAAGCCAACACGAGGTCCTTGGTAAATGCAATGCATTAGTAGTTTTAAGCAGAGAAATTGCAGACTTCTCTTTTAAAATAATAACTTTGACTGCTTTTAGAGAAGTGATGGGGGCAGGAGGGGCAGGCACTATCATAACCCAATGAAAAGGCCTGAACTTCAACCGAAGATATTAGCATAATCCAAAACTTAAAAACTCACAAGGAACAGCTGCAACCGACTGCCTTGTTCATAACCGCTGCAGTATGCAATGCCACTTTCTAAAGGAGCTGCAGCAACAACTTGTATGCGCACTCCCGGGTTTAACATTTTATCTTAACAGGGCTTTTTTTGGTTCAGTTAACAAACACTGAGAAAAATTCACAGCTGTAATTAGAGTGCAAATTTAATGTAAAAGGCCCAGTCAGTTGAAAAATAAGATTGTTTTTACTTTCTGCAATGAAACACATTATCAAGAGATTAACCACATAGCTACAAATTTGCTAGGCCAAATGGGATAGTTTTAAAACGCCTCTTTGGTTTGAGCTACTTAATGGGCTTCAAGTAAGAAGGTAAAAAATTAACAGAAACTGTTGACCTCATAATGAGGCCTCCTCATTTTTTAAATGATCTCAAATACTTCCTCCACTTCACAGGTTTATAATCCAGTTTCCCTTGACAAAGGACACTGAAACTTAAGCCACTTTAAATCCCTACAGCTCCTCCTCAGTTGCCTTTAAAATTTGCGGAACACTTCCTACACCACGGCAATTAGATGTGAAAAACATGCTATTTCAATCAGCTCATAAACTTTAATTAAAAATAAGCGCTTTGGCTCTAACAGTCTAAAGTAAAGTGCTTATAGCTTGAGACAAATGTCTTAACAACAAAATTAACTTTACCTCAAGCAGCACCTTGAGCACATTATGTGCCAGACTGCCCGCCATCCAGATGGCTCAAGGACCTTCTCCAAGAACTCAGCTGTGAATTCCCTTGCCTCAGAGGCCTTGCAGTCAGCTGCAAACAAATTAAACACTGGAAGAAGTGAGAACACATAAAGCAGAGGGAAGTTAATAAATCCACTTAAATCCATTTTCTCCGAATGAACAACTGGCAACCTGAGGGACTGAGACAAGCAATCCATTTATAAACTAAAAAGATAAAGGCAGCAAAAAAGGCCAGGCATGGTGGCTCACGCCTTTAATTTCTGCAATTTGGGAGGCCAAGGTGGGCAGATCACTAGAGTTCAGGAGTTCGAGACCAGCCTGGACAACATGGCAAAACTCTCTCTCTAGGAAAAAAAATACAAAAATTAGCCAGGTGTGGTGGTGCACACCTGTAGTCCCAGCTGCTCAAGAGGCTAAGGTGAGAAGATAGCCTGAGCCAAGAGCAGAGGCTGCAGTGAGCCAAGATCGTGCCACTGCCCTGTAGCCTGTGTGACAGATCAAGACTCTATCACCAAAAACGAAAAAAAAAAAAAAAAAAAAAAAAGCCGAAAAGAAACACAAAATAGAACCAAATCACCTAAAATGTAGTCTTGATAGGCCCTGGATTACTCAGAGCAAAAGTTGATTTGGTTGGAAAATTCTAGGTAAAGTGGCTTTTTTTCCTTCTGGAATAAAACTATGTAAACTAGAACCTGGCTTATCACGACAGTTACAATCACTGTGTGAATCTTCATTTTGAAAGAAACCTAAAAAAAACAAAAAATATATAAATAAATAAATAAGCAGGCAAGAGTATCCCAGATACTTCCAGTGCTCATCAAGGGCTTCTGTCTTCACATTCTTGCTTGAAATTCCAAACCAACAAGGATTTGAGTATAAATTGTCTACTTATCTGTATCACTGTCAGAAGAAACTGGCTTTCCAAACTTAAAAATATCTCAAAATCCAAGTTCTACTTAAAAACAGTAAGAGCTTAGGATCTTTCACAAGTTAGGTTTTTGTTGTTATGTGGGGATTTGGGGGAAGGCAAAGAAGTGAGGTTGCTTTTTAATCCAGTGGAAACCACCTAAGTTCTTCTAGGGATCTTTACTTATTTTTTTAAACTTTACTAGTATCTCAGTTACTTTTTTTTCCTCCCAAACACTTCCATAAAGCAGTATTAAAAGAGAGAGCTGGGCCGGGCGCGGTGGCTCAAGCCTGTAATCCCAGCACTTTGGGAGGCCGAGGCGGGTGGATCACGAGGTCAACAGATCGAGACCATCTTGGTCAACATGGTGAAACCCCGTCTCTACTAAAATTACAAAAAATTAGCTGGGCACGGTGGTGCGTGCCTGTAATCCCAGCTGCTCGGGAGGCTGAGGCAGGAGAATTGCCTGAACCCAGGAGGCGGAGGTTGCGGTGAGCCGAGATCGCGCCATTGCACTCCAGCCTGGGCAACAAGAGCGAAACTCCGTCTCAAAAAAAAAAAACAAAAAAAAACAAAAAAAAAACAAAGAGAGAGCTAATTTCCTATACTCCCTCTCTAATGGGTTGAAGCCTCCCTTTATTTTCTACAATATCAGCCTGCCAATAGCTCCTCAATAAACAGGGATGAGAGATTCTTAATAATGCATAAGGTTTACTTCACTAAGACTACTAGGTTCCTCCTCATTAATTTCAATGACTGTGTCTAAGGAAAAGATCAGAAAATGCAAATCACATTAGGTTTGGGCTGTATGTAATTATGTTTCATAAGGCATGATTCAGCCAGTGGCATATCTAATTCTGTGTAATAAGATGTTTTTAAAAAACGAAATGACTACTAAATCAGCAATGCTGAGAGTAGCATTTAGACTGGCAGAGTAGTTTCCGAAGGTGGTTTCAAGGTAGGTGTCTGAGACTAATTTGCAGCAGTCTTTCTTCCCTCACCGCCTTTTATTTTCCCCTTTCCTCTTCTCCTTCCTTCCATTTCTTTGCCCGACTCAGGCCCCCAGAATTACCTGATTCCACAGATGAGATGACCAAAGCACGTGCTGTTCACAAACACTGACACGCATGAACCTTAGAGGGCATAGCACCTTACTGGCTGCGTGACAATCTCTCTGTGCCTCAGTTTTCTTGCCTATAAGGAGAAGATAAAAATAGTATGCCTACTTCAATTAAATTAAGAGAATTAAACAAACTTTGTTAATTATTTACTACAGTGCCAATTACACTGTGTGTGTGTGTGTGTGTGTGTGTATGCATATTTGTTAAACAAGTATACTTGACTTCAGCAACACTCTTTACAGCTATTTTCTGCTGTATAATCTAAGGGGTACAATGTGACGTTTTGATATACATTATGAAATGACTGCCGCAGTAAAGCAAATTAACATTTTCGCATTTGTGTGTGTGTTGAGAACACCTGAAAGTTACTCTTGGCAAATTTCAAGTACACAGTAGCATCATTAACTACAATCACCAAGCTGCACACTAGATCCCCAGGACTTGATCAACTTTGCACCCTTTGACCCACATCTCCCCATTTCTCCCACTTGCAGCCCCTGGCAACCACCGCGCTGCTCTTTTCCTCTCAGTTCTGCTTTGTTATTTTCCGCCTATATTATTTAGAATTTTCTTTCTTTACAGCCACTTTAAAAATATTCCCCTTCGCACATTGTTTCACTGCGTCTTCACCACAAGGACAGCCACTAGCTCCGTCTTCAGATGGGAAAACTGTGGCCCGGCGAGTTCTGCCAGCTGGAAACACAGCGGTGGAATTAAAGTCACACTTAGGCCTTCTCACCTCGCCGGGCCTCTTTCCACTACACAATACAACTGAACGTGTTAAAGTAAAAACGTGACCCAGTTTAAAGTGTCGGGGGTTTAAAAAAAAAAAAAAAAAAGTACCTCCCTGACGAGTGAAGAGGCAGAAATGACCGAGAACGAGGGGACCCGGTTCCATTTCTGGACCCCGTCCGCAGGTTGCTCGTCTGACTTGGGGCCGCCCTGCCCTGGGCGCTCAGGACAGCTGCGTAGGCCCAGGGCTGCCCTTTCCTTCCCGAGAACGAATGGCTCAGATCTCCGCGGAGATGCAGCTGGAAAAGTGAGCCCTCGCTCCACAGCTCGCGGCAGTTCCTTGAAGCCCACCCAGGTGGGGAACCCCTGGCGCAGCCCAGCCCCCTGCAGTCTCCGGGAAGCTGAGAGGGGAGCCCTGCCCCGGGTCCCTCCCGAGCCGGACGTCCTAAGAGGGATACCGGCCGCGCAAGGCCGGCCCGGCCCAAGCCGTTCCCAGAGGATCCCGACGCTCCGGCCTCGCTCGGAGGCGGCTCCTGGCCCGGCCCGGCGGGCGTTCACCTTCCTCTCAGGCGCTGGTGCCTCCTCCGCCGCTCCGCTGCGCGCGGCCTCAAGTCTTAGTCTCCCAGCCGCCCCTTCAGCCACTTCAAATTCCCGCGGACGGTCGCCGGGACAGTGACGCGCCGGCGCGGCGCCTCTGATTGGACGGGCGGCCGAGCTCGGACCCGTGAGAGCCTCGCAGGCCCGCGGAGCCACCCCTCCCGGCTGGCTGAATGCTGCTCTCGCCCAAGCTCCGGCGTGGGGCTGCGCTAGACGAACTAGGGCCAAGTTGAACTGGGACATCATTGGGGATGATTTTTGAAAAACGAACAAGCCATGCCTGGAAATGAGGTAGAGAGGAGATGAAACTGGATTGAGAGTCAGAAGACATGGTGTTTAGTCGGGCTTCGGCCATTCCTAGGGGCACTGCCTTGGGCAAATCATTTCACCTCTCGGGCGCACCTCACCTGTCCCAGGATGCTGGCCCCATGGCCTGAAAATTCCATCACCAAAATCAGTCTCTCTCTCTCTCCTCATTCAAAACATACACACACACACACACACAGAATGTATTTTCAAAGAATGTCAAATTTAGTATTTTTAAAATTATTGATCAAAGGCAGCTGTAGCTTCCAATAATAATGGCTAACATTCACTGAGTACTGTGTGCAAGACACCCTCCTGCATGCTTTACCTGAATTATCTTATTTAATCTTCAAGAACCATCCCATGAGAGTGGAACTATTATTATACCCATTTTACAGAGAACTAATGGAGTCAACGAGAAGAGAAGTGACTTCAATCTAAGCAGAGCTAGGAGGTGAAACAAGCCAGACTCCAGAAGAAACCCTTCAGTGCCTCTGCCAGGCCCTCACTGCCAAGCTGATGAGAGCAGCCTGAGATAGCCCAGGTCACCAGGACACCAGCCGGATGAGTCCGCAGGAGACCAGGAGCCTGGGCATGACACCCCGTGTAGCCTCCTCGTAGGGAAACATTTCCACTTCCTGCTTTGAAGTGAAACCTGGGCTACAGCCTCTCAGATCCCCTACAGCTGAAATAAAATGGAGCCAGGAGAGGTGACTGAGGAAACCTGCACTTAATTCAGCTAGCTTTGCCAGGAAACAAGATTTCTTTAACTCTTGTGTGCAGAGTCTGACCTTACATTTATTTGTTCACTGAACAAATATTTATTGAGCACCATAAGGTGAAAACACTCAAAACAATAAAATCAGGACTCACAACAGGTCTTGAGGACTAAGGTAACTTCTTCATAATTTTCCCCTTTAACCCTCCTGCCTATAACCTCACACCTCACAAGTCGCAGCATTTCTCCTCACCCATTTTCATCATCACTGGAGACAACACAGCTCTCTTCCCATTCAATTACCAAATATTTCTTCAACCATGAAGATATTACTCAAGCCAGTGATTCTAGAAAATTATTGGAAAGAAATAGGAGGCAACAGGTTAAGACAAAATATCTATGCCATTGCAAACTCCATTAAAGGGAAACTATTGATTACATGAGATACATTTGTTAGACACAGCCCTTCTCATTTCCAAACCTGGGTCAACACATAGTCACTGCTTGTTCAGATCCTACCAGAGGTTTTTAGAGTCTCTCCCTAAGTGGAGACCTGTTAGAAGCACACATTTCTTGGGAATTTTCTTTCCCTGCCCCTCCATGTGGTAAAGAAAAGGTTTTCTTCTTCCTCCTTTTCAATCTCTTCCCCTGTAGCCTATCACAACCTTCTACTTGCCCAAAGGTGGACGTCACTTACTGCTGTTCCATCTTTCTTATATCATTGCTCTTTTTATCACCACTGGGTCCTTACACTCTGTTTACACACGGGCTCACAAATATCTGTGCTCCCCCTAAAAAACTTCCCAAACCCCAACTTCAACCGTGAGAAACTGCCCTCTTCTTTCCTTCTTGGTAGCCCCAAACTCTTCAGTATACTGCCTCCCTCTCCTGGTTTCCTGAAGGCCAGCAGCCCCTCCTGAGGCCCTCAGCTTCCACCCCACAGCACTGACCTAGCTGACCACCCACCCCTCTGCTCTTTCCTCCTTTGCCCTCTGCATCCTCTCCCTTCATCTCCATTCTGGTTCTGTGACTACAGTACCAGGGTTAACTGTGGTCAGAAAGGATTAAATGAAAAATTCCAGAAATAAGCATCAGTTTCAAATTGCGAGCTCTTCTCAGTAGCAAGACTCATTCCTGTCCGGAAGTGCCCACACTGTATATGCTCCCCATCTGGTAGTCACTGCCAAGGCCCATAGAAAACTTCTCCTTCACCCTTGAAGGCTTGCTGAAAATCAACCAACAAAAGGCGGATGAATAAGAGAAAAGGCATAAAAATGTATTCAGATGCACAGGGTTGGGGACACCACACAGGATGACCACACCACACAGTGGGGTAGAGATGGTTGTACACCCCTCTTCTTGGGGCAAAGGGAGATGAAAGTGTGGATGATTAGGGGTAGTAAATGTTTTGGAGGGAGAATCCAATGGGCTTAAAGAACATGCAAGGACCTGGGATGAAGTCTCTTGAGCACACAGAGCAGACAACGATTTATGACAAAAATCTGTCCAGGGGTATTAAAAAACTCTTCTGCAGTATAAATTCAGTGAATGAAAATTCAGGGAAGAAATCCAAGGTACTTGTTTCCTTCTTTGGTGGGTCAGACTTTAGGCAGAAAAAGGAACTTCAGAGAAAAACTTCGTCTGTGCTTTGTGAGAGACAGATGATGGGGACATGCGACAGTGGAGGTAAGAGACTTTGAGGCTGCTTCTTGAGTTAACCGTGACAAAAGGTTTAGGGTATCAGTTTCTGGGCCCCAATATCACTTAGTGGCCATCTCAATTATACTGTATATACTATAAGACATATATACTATACTATATATATATATATACACATATATATACTATGCTTGTCTGGGAAAGACTTTATTTCTTCTTTACAAAGCTTAGTTTGTCAGCATATAAAATTATTAGCTGGCATTTCTTTTCTTTAAAGATGCTAAATAACTGACACAAGAACAGAAAATCGAACACCACATGTTCTCACTCATAGGTGGGTGTTGAACAATGAGAACACATGGACACAGGGAGGGGAGCACTACACACTGAGGTCTGTCGGGGGCAGAAATAGGGAAAGGACAGTGGGGGGTGGGGAGAGAGAGCATGGGGAGAAATGCCAGATATAAGCGAAGGGGAGGAAGGCAGCAAATCACACTGCCATGTGTGTACCTATGCAACAATCTTGCATGTTCTTCACATGTATCCCCAAACCTAAAATGCGATTAAAAAATAAAATAAAAAGGATGCTAAATATGGGCCTCAATCTCTTCTGGTTTGTAAGGTTTTTGCTGTTCATCTTCTGGGTTTCCCCTTATAGTTAATATGACCCTTTTCTTTAGCTGACTTTAAGATTTTTTCTTTCACTCTGACCTTCGATAGTCTGCTGACTATGAGCCTTGGAGATAGGTGTCTTTTACAGTATCTTGCAAGAATTCTCTGGATGTCTTATATCTGCATATTGACCTCTGTAGGAAAGTTAGGAGAACTTTCCTGAATCACATTCTCAAATATATTTTGCAAGTTGGTTACTTTCTCTTCTTCTCTCTTAAAAATACTAATATGTCATAGATTTTTATTGCTTTACATAATCTCTATTTCTCAAAAACTTTGTTCATTAAAATTTTTTTGCCTCATTTTTGTCTGGGTTGATTCAAAGAACCAATCTTTGAACTCTGAGATTCTTTCATCTGCTTGGTCTATTCTGTTGCTAAGGTTTCCAATGTATTTTGATATTCCCATAGCAAATTTTTAAAAATTTCAATTCCAGAAGCTCTGTTTGATTATTTCATAACTATGTTGTCTTTCAAATCCTGAATCATTTTTCTGTTTCCATTGTGTTGTATTCCAACTTTCTCTTAGATCTTGTTGAGTTTCTTTGCCACCCATACTCTGAATTCTATTTCCGTCAATTCAGACATTTCTTTCTGATTAGAATCCATTTCTCGGGAGCTATTAAGATCCTTTGAAGGTGACAGAACACTTTGGCTTTTTGTATTACTGGAATCCTTTTGCTGATTTCTTCTCATCTGAGAAAGTTGATGCTTTATGTTTCAAATGTGTTATCATTTCGATGGCGCATTTTGATTTTTTATTCTTTTTTCCTTTGAGGAGTTGACTGTGGTTTATGTGGTGTATGATCAACTGGCTCTATGTCTGAGGGCCTTGAGAGGGCTTAGGTTCCTTGGCTACAGACAGATTCATATCTTTCTTGGAAACTGCTTGGTGTAGCAATGTGTTTATGTTTGGTGCTATAATTCAGACTGCAGTCAAGTCAATGGCACTTCAGAGTAAGAGCCAGCAGGAGGTGTCACTCTGCCTGTGCTCACCCTCAGCAGGGGGGGAGGCAACAGAGAAACACAAGAGGACCCTCCCCCAGAACTGCGGTTCTTCAGCAAAAGCAGAGGCCCTTGAGAAGCTCAAAAAGTGTCTCTTTCAGCCCACACTTCCCAGGAAGATCTGTGGCTGCATCCACAGCAGTGCACTGGGGAGAGACAGGGGCAATCAGATGACCTCCTCTCCAAGTTTGTTTGTAGGCTTTGGTGTTGCCCCCTCCAGTGGTTGGCCTTGCCCTCCAAGGGAAGCTTTGACAGGCTGTGTTCTTCCTTCCCTTAAAGGCAGTCCTCAACAAGGGTTAGGTCTCCAGGGCTTGGGGGACACCTCCCTTCCACTCCACAAAGTTGGTGGGTCACACTTCAACAGGTGATCAAGGGAGCAAGCTGGGGCACCCAGCAAGGGCACACGCTGACTGGTTCCAGATCACAAAGCTGTCCTTGGCTGCAAGTCCTACTGCTGAGCAGAAACCTCATCTTCATTACTTCTGCTGCTGCAGTCCTGCAACAAGTGAGCCTAATTTCACTGCCTGCTCCTGGGGTGCTCTCCACACTCACCACTCAATTCTGGCTGTGGGGGCCCTTCCCCTGCTCTAGAGCAAATGCTCCACCCTCTGGTCTGCAGCAGCCACTATTGCCAGGTTACCACACAATGACGATCTTGGTATAAACCCAGATTAAAAACAGTGTCATCCTCTCAGTCTCAAGTCTGG